ACGTCACACTGATATTGCACGTTACGAAGGAGCCACCCCTTCGATACTAAAACCGAAAGTGACTTTTTAAGATAGTGATATAAAAAATATGTGTTGCATTCCCAGGCACAATAGTACTCTCAAAATATTTAAAATTCGTGTCAGTACTCCTTCCACCTTGACTAACTTGATTTAAATGTATCTAAATTTAACTGCGGGTGTTCTTGCATTTCACCAACAAGTGGCTTCCATGGCCAGGAATTGAATTTGAATTCTCGAGTCAACTAGCGCAACACCTTGTCTGCTGGCTACCACAATGAGTCAGTTATCAGCAATACGTACAGTTGCTAGCTTTGTGTTCTGCCATCAGAAAAAGAAAAAAACGCCTGGCCTGCGCAGAAGGCGCAGCACAGTCACAGCGAACACTAGAAGAGCAGCCTTTCAGAGCATCTTCTAAACACTGATTGGGTAACTACTGCAAGTACACTTGCTTGGTACCCACTAGGGCATTAGTAAGAAATTTTTTGAGTAGTAGGCCGGAATTCGCTAGGCTATTTTTCGTCATTCTTCTGAGAAGCGTGGTATCTGCTATACACTTGCAAGGAATTTTGTGCCAATCGTTCATGCAGTGGCTGACGACGATGAGGAATTATGGCTGAAGTGGGTATGTGCCACAGTTAATAGGGGAACAAGAACATAATTTTGTAATGAGTTAGAGCATTGGACTACCCACTCGTTACGCTATTCACATTGTGTGATGACTGGTTGTTCTTTTGCTGTTTTAAAACGCTTCATAAGTCGTATTAATGCGATTGCTTTCCTGACATAAAGCCTGCCTAAGGCAAGTTTGCCAACAAGTCGCAAGCACCGGCCAAATTTTATTTTACAAAGCTTTCAAGAAAACACTTGCTCCTATATTGCTGAATATTTTTCAGATGAGTTATGACATGGATACACTCCCACAATCTTTTTGCAAAAGTCACACTGTGTTAATACCGAAAACAACTGACAAGGAAAAACTTCACTTCGTCGAGGGCTACAGACCAATATTGCTGTCAAACGTGGGCTACAAAATTTTCGCAAAAGTATTAGCAAATAGGTTGCAATTTGCTATGTCGATCCTCATTGGGTCTCATCAGACATGTGGGATCAGAGGTCGATCCATACAAACAAATATACATGTCGCTCGAACAGTGCTTCAATACTGTCATGGTTCTCAAAAACATCTTGCAATGCTACAGGTAGACCTTGCAAAAGCTTTTGATCGTGTTCCTCATTCCTTCCTTTTTTCTCTTCTCGAACAAGCTAATGTTGGCAAAGTTGTTCTTAAAGGCGTTAAATTATGCTATAATGAATGCTCAACTCGTCTGATAGTTAATGGTCAACTCTCCAAGCCAGTTTCTATTCGCTCTTCTGTAAAACAGGGATGCCCGATGTCACCTCTTTTATTTGCACTTTATCGAGAACCACTGTGCTTAAGCATAATACAGTCGAGTTGCATTCGTGGCTTTAGAATATTAGGCAGTGATGTTAAAGTATTGGCTTATGCAGACGATGTCGCATTTTTTTGCACAGATAAACCAAGTGTCGAAAATGTGGTATATACTATTGAAAAGTTTGGCGTAGTATCAGGAGCTCGTTTAAATGCCTCAAAAAGTTTAGGACTGTGGTTTGGCTTGTGGGGTAGCACACGAACCACTTTGCAGGATTAATTGGACAAGAACTCCTCCAACATACCTCGGTGTACCATTGCATGCATATAGATTCAGTGCGCATTACTGGAAGGAACGCGTCCCTAAGCTTGAACGACAGGCCCAGACATTTGTTCCCTATCGACTTTCGATATTGGGAGAGCTGAAGCTTGCAATCCTTTTAGCAACAAAGTTTTACTCTGTATTGCAACTTATTCATTGCGCAAGATTCTATATACGAAACTGTCATCGAATTTTTGCTACTTTCATATGGTCTTCGACTTTGAGGCCCATGCGTCGTGATAATATATTCAAGCCAGTTAGTGAGGGTGGGTTAGGACTAAAACACCTTTATCTATGGCAAATAGTGTCCCGATTCTTCTTTTTTCGAGACAATTCCCATCCTGTAATCCGTTCCTTCTTGCAGGTTACACTTGTTGATTCCTTACCAGATTTAATTGTTTCATCCAACTTCTCCGAACGCCCATACTTGTGGGGATTCATGCAAGAAGTTTACCTCGCAGTTCAGTTCCTTAAAGCTCACTTTTCTGTAGAATACCTGTACACAGTATCGCGCAAGGTGATGTATAAGGACCTACTGAGTACACTCTTCCCACCTCCACTGTACCGTTCACTGTACTCCAATCTTCCAGGTCACGATGTGTTGAAGCGAGTGCGCAAAATGTACATTTCACCGAATTCAATAACATTCTTCTATAAACTCCACTCTGAAACATTGGCGGTAAACACATGGTTAGAAAGAAAAGGCATTTTCATTCCGTCTGTTAACTGCCGTCTATGTGATGTGCCGGAAACGATTGAACATTGCTTTGTTAGCTGCAAAGATGCCATACTATTTTGGGATGTCCTTCAACGAGCACTGAAAAAACGTTTCGTCATTAATTCTCACACAATACATTATCTTCTACCAGCAACGCTTGATGAAGTACCATATGATATGTTTTTCCTCATGGGTTTGCACAGCTTGTGGAAGACACGAATGCAAGACCGCAATGCAGAGCCCACCACCTCTTCAAGCGCACACTTCATTCAAATGGCTATCCACCTAAAAAACATTTACGACGAGCTAGACTTTAGACCGGACTGGTACTCCGTCTTAGAGAACTGTTTGACCTCACCCCTTTTTTGTTTGTATAACACGATGTGAAGAACTCTCCATGTGAGGAACTCGCGCTATGTTAGCCATTTAGTGTTTATGAGTAACGCTTGAACACTTACTTTCGCGATTTGATCGTACTTTTGTTTGCTTGATTTTGTCTTTATTGCCCAAGTACTTTAATAAATACCATGAAAAAAAAAAAGCACCGGCCTAGCTCAGAGGTAGAATACTAGGCTGGCACCCAGCAGACCCAATTTCAAGCCCCACTGTGTCATTGGAGCTAGGTTTTCATTCTAATTCCGCGCGATCTCATAGCAGCTTTCTTTTTAAAAAGTATAGACCAACAAGGCTAAAGCAACAAGCAGGAGATTGTTGCACAAACATACACATATAATGTGGTGTAGCAACAAAATAACACAATGTCCACCCCCCATTTTTTTTCTCTATGGCATACAGAGGGCAAAATAGCCACTTCCCGGCCCTTACTTCAAATAAAAAAAGTTTCTTTTTAAAAAGTATAGACCAACAAGGCTAAAGCAACAAGCAGGAGATTATTGCACAAACATACACATATAATGTGGTGTAGCAACAAGATAACACAATGTCCCCCCCCCCTTTTTTCTCTATGGCATACAGAGGGCAAAATAACCACTTCCCTTCCCAGCCCTTACTTCAAATAAAAAAAGTGCCCCCCCCCCCCCCCCCCCACCTAAAGAAAAAATAAAATAAATCTGCCTACGCCCCTGCACATATGTACCAGCGCTCATTCAAAGCTGTCGGATTCACATTCTTGAAACGTGTGAGAGCTATCTATGATGCACTAAAAGGAATGCAGGGTATGCAAGTACGCAAACACTATGAAGCAAGGTTAATTACTTCAATATACCAGTGAAGCTCCTTTACCATGATTCACCAAAGTGACTTTCAAAATTTTTTTGGAAGAGTTCTTTTTTTTTTTTTTCAAAGAAAAGAGAGTGGAATGCCTATAAAACCAGAACAGGCTGTATAAAAGCTACTGCAGAAATTTATTTAGGGTGTTCGAAGGCTGGCCTGCAGGTTGCTAAGGTCTATCTAACACCTTGACATAATGCAAGACTTGGAGTGTTCAAATATGCCAGTGCACTCCACAAATAGCGTACACTGCTGTGACCATTTCAGCCAAATTTAGCAGTTGTGCACAGTGCAGACAGTTCAACAGTGGAACACAATTATGACCTCTTTCTAGATGCCGTTCTATAAAATGGAGACCTGCTGCCAAAAATGGGCCAAGCACATGCAATCTGTAAATAGTTATGTAAAAAATGCACCCCCCAGAAATGGGTTGACGGCGAACCAGCATGAAGTTATGTAACTTCATAATTTATGGCAAAATGAGAAAACATGTCGCTGTGTATTGAGACATATAATCAGGAACTAGTCATTCATGCATTTATTTTACTGATTAAAATCTTAAATATAAAATACAAAACACTGCAGAACGAAAGGGGACTAGTTACCTTCGGGAAGTATTCAAGAGTCGGCATTCAATAATAGTTATATATGCCTTTCAAATGGTGCTTGTCTCAATAATTGCCTTGTGTTTAACACTCTTGTTTCTTTAGGAGGTCTACATACATTAGCAAAGATAGAAGTTTTGTTGCCATTGTAGATGCTCGAGGCTAAGGCAGCGGTACGATTAAGCACCTTGTTTAACATCATGCAGGACCATCAGGAACGACTTTAGATGCAAAAAAAAAAAAAATATATTCAAGAGCCTCTGAGCTTATACCAGATATCAGCGGCATCAATTGAGAACGCATTAAACCTAAAACAAAACACAAAATAGGCCGATCGGATTATTGCATTACTTTATAATGAAATACGCGAGTAGTCATGAGGGGTGTTATAAACTAACAGACGTCGAAAGCAACACAAGACCGCTCACTACAGGCTGCACTTAAATTGAGAACACTTTCACACACTCGTAGTGTGCAACACTTCAGCCCATTCTGTACACTGAAGAGCGAGCAGCACAGATGCCTCATCCGCGCGAAAGGGTCCTAATTACAGTCGCTAGAGTGCACTGCAGTGGGAACAGACATGAATTCCTGGTTCCGACTACTACTTAGTGTTGCGACGCAGAAACTATGTAGGCGATAGGTACCATTTCTTATCCAACGCATTCAAGGAGAGCTTGTTAAAATAGTGGAACAATTCGTAAAAGTACTCACCAACTGCTAACCCAACAGGTCCCATAAGAAAGCCGGCTGCCATCGCAGTTGCGCCAGTGATAAGACCTCCTTTAGCCGAATGCTTCAGTGTCACTCTCAAGTTTTCTTCTTTAGACACCATGCACAGAACGTCCAACATTTCGTCCCTCTTGACAGGCATGTCAGCGGTCAAGGTAGCCACCCCAACGAAGGCCCGGCGTGAGTCTGGGCGAGTTCCACTAGCACTGAAGGAAACCAAAGAAAGGTTAATATTGTCTTTCTGGTACTTTCTTAGCGGAGGTATGACGCAGCGTTAAGCAATGCGTCGCAACACTTCAAGGAAAATTAGTCCGACGTGGCGGTTACCCCTACGTATTCTTAAAGGTCTCTTCATGCGGAGCGCGAAACAACTGTAGAAACGAACTGCCCGTGTAAAACTTGGTGAGGTACTGTATAGGTATCCAAAACGACCAAATCTTATATACGTATTCTTGGCGGAGGTCTCTTCATGCACAGCCCAAAGACACTGTAGAAACGAACTGCCCGCGTAAATCTTGGTGAGGTACTGTCAAAGTATCCAAAACGACAAAATCTATGTAAAGTACGCGCCGTTAAAAGTATTCTCCCTTGTCAGCTGCACAGCGGAACGTAAATAACGTAAACAAGCACCCAATGCGCTATGCGATTTACAAACTGGTAGGTGTTCTGTGATTCTACTACTGACGTCACTGGTACCGACTCTCATACTTGCCTCTAGCGGCTCGATACGGCTATATTACAGCCAAAGAAAAGAAATACATGGTGGAACAAAAACAACTAGATTGAAAGCTCCCGCAATGCCTTGCCACACGGAGAATGAAAAAACTATTTTTCTTCCTTCATGCCTTGCCAGCAGAAGAGGTGTTATCTGGCAGAAGTGAAGCCAGCTTTTGCCCTGCCAAGATGTCGGTAACGTGCTCTTTTCTGGTAGTGCCATCTTAGAGTTAGGTTTGAATGCTACGTTAATTCTATCTAAAAAGATAGTTGTTTTCGACAAAATAACACACAGGAAAGAGTATGAGTGACTGAATCTCCAAAGAACTTTGCCTCCAATTAGAGGCTTACTAAGAAAAACTAGTAACACTAAGACGCACTTGGAGCACTATGAGACCCGAAAAAGTTTCCACGTTACACTAATTGGGCGTGCGAGAGAAACGCTCCGTTCTTAATCGCTGAACCATCCTTCATCCATGCGCTGAACGTAGATACGATAGTGATACTTTATCACGCCCCTAGTTCTTGCCATAGGCACGGCTTCACTCGTGGGCTATTTCCACTCCTGCAATTTCTTTAAGCCTCCTTGGGTAGACCGTAAAGGAAAGACAGCGCAAAAACACGAGCACACGAAGAAAACACGTACCTTTATGGGCTACATGTTCTACGTGTATTCTCTTTGTCCTCAGCCGGTGACGGTTATACGTAGTTATAGTGAACTAGAATATACTATAGTACTATAGTAGTGAACTACTACTAGTAATGGCCGGCGGCGATGGCGTAGTGGTTAGAGTATCAGTCTCGCATGCAAGAGGTCCGTGATTCGAATCCCGGTGCCACGCAGTTTCCAACCGTATTATAAAAGATAATCCGCGTGGAGATGGAAGTGCCTGCGGCCTCACCAGTGACCACCACCGGTAACGCACTCCCTTACCAGAGAAGGATTGGCCACCCTAGTGCAGTACCTAGCCGCGCATTCCTCCGTGTAGCCGCGAGTTAACAAAGGCAATGCCTCCTAGAAAAATTATGCCTGGAACGTGCGCCGCGAACGTGCCAAGCTACATTCGAATTTTACCCTCTCCCTCTGGTACGAAGGCGAACGCCTTTGGTGGTCGCCCCCTGCTGCTCCGTGCGCCCTGCGAATACAGCATTGCTCACACAGTTGCCTCCGAGCAGCTATGATGTCACGTGACAAAGCGGCATGGTCACGGAGGAAGGAAATGTTCCTTCCTCCACCTTTCCTTCCTCCATGGGCATGGTAATGTTACGTGAACGCGGCCGTTACGACACTGAACGGTACGGAGGCGAGCGGTTCGAAGCGGCGAACGGTCGCAACACGTGACAGGAGACATAGCCTCCGAGATTTTGTGCTAGCAAAAAGCTCCCAATTGAAAAAAGCGCGACGTTCTAGGCATAGATTTTTTTTAAGAAGCGTTGACAAAGGCAAGCAAATAGACCCTCCCGCCCTCCCATGCACTGCGCCAGGCGGCCTCACAAGGCTCTCGGAAGCTGCGCACTCATTGGCAGCGCTCATAACGATGCGGCATGACGATAGTTATAGCGCGAGAACAAAACGACGACACAGAGACAAGAAGGACGCTATAACTATCGTCATGCCATACCAACTAGCCCAAGCTGCCACACTTCTAAGATGCGGCAGGGTTCGTGTGTTGGGCGCCGGCACAGCTGATGCAGACGCCGTGGTGAAAGAGAGAGAGAGAGAAATAACGTTTATTGCACCCGTCTAGAATGACGGGGGAGGAGGCTTCGGCCTCTGCCCCCAATCATCCCCCTAGCCATCAGCCCTTGGGACTCGGCGGCGGTCAGGGCGAGACCGATGACTTGACGCTGTTCTTCGGCGTCACGGCTGTGTAATAAGGCCTCCCAGGATTCTACGTTTCTACTTGGATCATTGTAGGATGGGCAGGTCCATACCATGTGCACTAAACCCGCAGTGCTGTTGCAGTGCGCACATCTGGAGTTGAACACTTCCGGGTGCCATTTACTGTACAGGTGAGGGTTTGGAAACACCCCGGTTCGCAATTTTCGCCACATAATTTCCTCCTTTTTGCTCAGCTGTTTAGCTGCCTCTGGAGATATCTTACGGTGGAGTTTATAGTGTGCGGTGATTTCCTGAAACGTTCGTAGTTCGTCTCTTGTGGAGAGGGGCTGCTCGCGCGAAGGCGGCGGGTCAGCGTCGATCGACCGGAAAGTGAGCCCTCGGGCGATCGCGTGCGCCTTCTCATTCCCCTTCAGACCTTGATGGGCCGGGGACCATACTAGTGAGATTAGCTCTGCGGGTACTGGTCCTTGTCTTAAAATTTGGCGGCTGTAGCAGAGATCCTGCCCATATCGTAGTTTTTAATGGCTGACTTAGAGTCGCTAACAATCACTCGTGTGCCTTTTTGAGCTATTGCCAAAACAATCGCAAGTTCTTCTGCCTCTGTGGTGGTTGTGTTCTTAGAGGTGCAGCACGAGACCAGGTCCCCGTTCTCGCGAACCACTACCGCTGTGTGTGCTCCCTTTCTTTCGTATTCTGCAGCGTCCGTGTAAAGCACGCCAGATGGACCTTCAAGTTTCGCCTGCAGGGCTACAGCTCTAGCTTTGCGTCTGCCTTCATGAAACGCCGGATGCATGTTTTTCGGCAGCGGTATAATTTTCAGTCTTGCCCTAGTTGATTTAGGTATGCTAGCAGTCTGCCTGGAACACTCCGTGGGCTCGAACCCCAAGCGCTCCATGATTTTCCTCCCTGTTCTACTTCTCAGAAGTCTTTGGTGCTGTGACATCATGGCGGCTTCTATTAGTTCATCTAAAGTGTTGGAGACACCAAGCCCAAGAAGTTTAACCGTAGATGTGTTCGGGGGAAGCCCTAGCGCAGTCTTGATGCCTTTTCCTTATAATGGCTTCAATTTTATCTTTTTCTGCTCTACTTAATTTAAGATAAGGGGCAATGTATAGTACACGGCTTATCACGAAAGCTTGAACTAATCTTAAAAGATTGGCTTCCTTCATCCCCGCATTCTTGTTAGAAATGCGCTTAAGCAGGCGGCACGTCTGGTTCGCACTAGCTTCGAGTCTCCGGATAGTTTCAGTGTTTTTTCCATTTGCTTGTATGCGCATCCTTAGAATTCTAATACTGTCTATGGTTGGAATAGCATTACCATTCACTCGTAAAGCGATGTCCCAACCCCTTCCGAGGGGATTGTGTGTTTTCCTTTTTTGCGATGGTAGAAAAAGAGCCTCTGATTTTTCTGCCGAGCATTTTAACCCTAGTGGTTCGAGATATTGTTCGATGGTATCTATAGCCGCCTGAAGTGCGCTTTCAATATGTCCGTCACTACCCCTGTTTATCCACAGCGTCAGATCGTCTGCATATATTGTGTGATGCAGATTTTCGATTCCTTCCAACTTCTCAGGAAACCCAATCATCGCTATAATAAAAAGAGTCGGAGAGAGTACAGACCCTTGTGGCGTCCCTTTGTTTCCCAATTTAATGTTTTCGAGCGACTGCCCTCCCATGCTGATAGCGGCTGTACGATTTGAGAGAAAGCCCCTCACGTAGTTGTATGTCTTGACGCCTACGTTTAGCGCACTAAAGTTCTTAAGTAAGGCTTCATGTTTGACATTGTCAAACGCCTTGGAGACGTCCAGACCCACAATTACTTTGGTGTCAACAGTCTTTCTGTCTATTATCTACTCCTTTAGCTGTAGCATAATATCGCACGTCGATAGGTGGGATCTGAAGCCTATCATAGTATCAGGGTACAGGTTTTCATCTTCCATGAACCTAGTCAGTCTTGTTTGGATGACGTGCTCCATAAATTTTCCTACGCAAGATGTGATGGAAATGGGTCTGAGATGTTCACGACTGAGCTTTTTCCCTGGCTTAGGAATGAAGACTACATTGGCCGTTTTCCAAGCTTGCGGTATTTCTCCCTTGTCCCAGCATTCTTGCATATAAGCTGCAAGTTGACGAATGGAGCCGTCGTCGAGATTCCTGAGCATTCTGTTGTTGATTTTGTCCGGACCGGCAGCCGTTTTTGTTTTAAGTCGGTTAATTTCAGCCCTGACTTCTCCAACCGTGATGGGGCTGTCTAGGTCCGGGTTTTCTGAACCAGCGTAGTCAGGGAGCTTTTGAGATTCTGCGCAGCAGAGGTATCGATCCCTAACCTCCTTTAATAATTCCGTCGTCTGACCTTCATATTTATACACAAGCTTTTGAAGTTGCTGTCGGGCCTCCGACTTGGTTTTCTCTGGGTCTAATAGATGCCGTAGTAGCTGCCATGTTTTAGCACTGCCAATTTCTCTATCCATCTGATCACAGATACTACCCCACTTTTGCTTGCTAAGTTCCAATGCATAATCTTCGATCTCTTTATTCAGTGCAGCAACTTCCTTTCGGAGATTCCTGTCTCCTCTTTTCTGACT